CCCTTACATGTCCTTCCACTTGAATCTGCCACTCTTGGTTCAGAATGAACTCTGGGAAGCGAGGTGTTTCATTTCTCAGGGTTCAGCTGCACCGGAATACATGTTTTTCGCCAAATTCTCTCATCTTACTGAAATAAACACAAATTGGGAAATCCGATGGCATTGTGAAACCTTTTCTTTTCAGGACACCAACCGTGTTTGGATTGAGCTGGAGGTACTTCGAGACCTTTACACCTGCAATCGCTCAGCTTCGAAGATGGTTTGTTTAACTTTACCCGACATGCCCTTGACCTCGGAACCCCTTCCCCTCTGGGCCAAAGTCAGCTACAAATGGCCCGATGATGCAATGGAAATCTTTAAGCGTCTTAACGACAGACCAAAGATATTAGCAATGTAGAAAATGCCAGAGATGTAAAATTTAAATTGGCAAATGAACAGCTAAGTAAAACATGCTCGCTTAGACCTGCGGCAAAAGTCCTGGAGTGCTATAACCTTTTCCGCAACCTGGTTGCAATTGGTGGTCACTTCCACTCCCACTTCCAAGACGAGGATGAGTCCTCATTGAAATGACGTGACCACTGAACCTTTTATAGGCATTAGAGGACTTTTGTTGCTGTAAAACGAATATTTGGAAGTTCCCTTCTGCGGCCTAAACCTTTGAATTTCCAGGGGTGATCAACAAGTAGGTTCTCCTTGCAATTCCGATACTTAACCTAGCAACAGATTATGAGACGAACAAGCTTACAGCAAGAGGGTGCCATCGTGCTGGAAGACCAAACTCTCCCTTTGTATCTTGGAAGTTAAAGGGCTAAATAGCCGCAGAAGTCACCCACAAAAAGCCAGTTATAAGCTCTCTTTGTGTTATCGTCTTTTATTTAAGCGTAAAGAATCTCTGTTAAGTTTACTTAGCCGGAAGTAAATAAGTTAGGATTTTAGTATCGGAAGTAAAGAAACCGGAAGTAAATAAGTTAGTTTAAATTATGTATTTCCGGCTGGTGCGGCTCGTGTATTGCTTTAACAAAAGAGTGAAAATCATATATCCCGTAATGGTCAAAACGAAAAGAGAACATTTACTGCAGTTAATAGTTTGATAACATAAATTAAGCGTCTCGAATTCCAACAATAAAAATATTTATACCTTTTTAACTTATTTATATCATTATATTCAGTAATGCTACCATTAAGATCTACTTTGTTATTTATCTTATGCTTTCACAATAGCCTTTCAATATATTGAACCAAAGAAGATACTTATGCCCCGGAAATCATGACTTGCAAGTACGTAGACCACCTTTATTAGGTCCTGGATGCGAGTGTTTCTTCGCCCGCGGGAAAGTATAAGGCCTAGATCACCATGAACCAGTGAGAGGTCTGGAAGAGATCCAGCGCTGATAATTATTAGTGCCAGACCCCCCGGAAAACCTCTCTCCAAATCGTCTCCAACCTTTCCGCGGGCGGGAAGGACGTGTGACCTGCAGCCACCTTAGTGGGTATGTGTAAAGCTTAGAAAGGGATGTAAATGAGTACAAATATATAATCATTTAGGCGAACAGAAATGCAAACTTTCATAGCAGCATTTGATTAAACTCCATGATTTTCATGCTATTGAAAATAACACATTTCTATAGGAGGTAATGTATACTTCAATTTGAAACATGCAGTTTGGATGTATGTTGCTCATAGATTATGAATTATATGTTAATAATAGTAATTATAGATCATAGTCTCTTAGTACGATTTATGAAAATTTTGTTTTCCACATATCAGCTCGGACAGAAGGCAAAAGTAAATCGATATAATTTAGCGAGAGGATCAAGAGTCCATGATCGTTTTTATTTTAATAATTTTTTTTTAATTTTATTTTACTTTATTTTTCTCTTTTTATTCCTCTGCGCTTATCATGAAGATGCGAGCTGTTAGTTTTGGATTCATAGTCGCTATTCCGTTTTATTTAGCCGTCATTCATGATCAAATCAGAATTCTAAAAGCAAAAACAAACGAACTGGATCAATATCCTCAAATCACAACTTTACCCAAGGGCCATGGCTTTTTGGACCCCTCGAAACATCCGGTTCGATTGGCGAGAGGTCGTCAACGTGAATGGCGGCAGATTAACTCGCCTATTATTGTGAAGAAGCATCTGAAACTAATCAGTTTGTACACTGTATGTAAAAGCGCAGACACAGGAATAATTACTTTCCTTATCAGTAAGTAAATATTTCGATCGCGTCGGCGACTGTGGTAACAAGACTTTTTTAAATAAAAATTCATCAATAATGAAGCTGTATCGAGTTGACACTTGTATTTTTTAAATCTTTTTCTATGCTCTAGAAGGAGGGATGTGGTCGAGCATGAAATGACATATAAAGGTCTGTTGTTTTGGTTGGACCCCTCTCTCCTCCCCCGTTGTTGAATGGTCCATTGATGGTAGAGCTTTAACAACTTTTAAAGTTGACATCTGATGAACGAGACTGTCAAAACATTCAAGTTTAGGATGATAAAAAAAGACAATGCCTGATAATTGCACAAAAAAACTTACACTGAATTGCGAAAATCGCAACACCAAGAAAAAGTAAGCCTTCTTTTCGTTCTCCTAATATAGCTTTTATTTAAAATCGTTCCCAAGTTCGTTCGATTTTGGAAGAGAGAAAAACCTGAAAACGAGGTTGGCTTTCAGTCTCAATCTATGTGTTCGTGTGACGTCACCTTATTAGTCCATTTGAAATTAAACAACAACAAACATATGAAACATATGTGTGAACTGCGGTTATGAGACGTATATATGAGCACGATCCTTCGCAGTAAAGCACTATTTGAGCAATAGTGAAAATCAGACCTGAAAAAAATTTCAGGCCTGTACGGGATTCGAACCACTGACCTCTGCGATACTAGTGCAGCGCTCTACCAATTGAGCTATCAAGCCAACTGGGAGCAGGCCATCAAATTAATTCGACATAAACCCGTAGATGATAAATCAAACAACAACAAACATATGAAACATATGTGTGAACTGCGGTTATGAGACGTATATATGAGCACGATCCTTCGCAGTAAAGCACTATTTGAGCAATAGTGAAAATCAGACCTGAAAAAAATTTCAGGCCTGTACGGGATTCGAACCACTGACCTCTGGTTCGAACCACTGACCACTGACCACTGACCTCTGGTTCGAACCACTGACCACTGACCACTGACCTCTGGTTCGAATCCCGTACAGGCCTGAAATTTTTTTCAGGTCTGATTTTCACTATTGCTCAAATAGTGCTTTACTGCGAAGGATCGTGCTCATATATACGTCCATTTGAAATTGTTATGGTGAGTGCTACTCCCGGATTGGCGACCCTAAGCAGAATCACCTTAATTAACGAGTCGACGCGTAGACAGAGAAAAATCAACAGTTCAGCTGTTACTATTGTGGAGTATACATAAAACTGGTCCTCAGTGATCAAAGAAGGTAGGTGCACTGGAAAGCTTTTCTAAACGCTTTTTTACCGAGAACTATTCTTTTTTTTTGTTGTTGTTTTGGTTATTATATTCCGTGAGTTATCGTCAGAGTTCACGAGATCTATTGATAAACCAGTCTCCTGCTGTAGATTCTCAAATAGGTTTAGCCAAAGTTCATGACCAGGCAGCAAACAAAGATATCCGGCTCTTCCTAACCTAACCGATCTGGCCAGAAATATCAGCTGAAAGATTTTTCATCCGCGTGCCAGTACACAGTGACTATTCGAATGTGACGAGGAGAGCGCCGTACCGAGATAAGCGTCAATCATCAACTTTATTTTTTTATATATACATATATGTTTTTCATCTTTACCCCAATCATATATCCTCATTGTCGAATTGTTAATCAAACTGACTCGAACGAGTACAGTTGGTCGAAATTTCGAGAACAGGATTTGCTTGCCACATTTCCCGCGCTCTGATAGATCTTGAAAAAGACTTTTCAATTTGGGCGCAATTAACCTACTTCAGTCACCCTTTTTATAAAACAAGAAAATACATTTCTGGCCAAACCGCAAAACATACCAGTTATCCTGTAACGTGCTACTTAGTGCTTGCCGAGTCGTAATATTCTCAAAAGAAGGGTAACTGTATTATTCTCATTTGAAATAATTTCTAATTTATTCCATTCAGATCCGCCCGAGGTCTTAAAATGTTCTTAATTCAGTGCGGTTCGCGAGTTCCGAATACAATGCACTCTTCCACGAGCCATAATCTGTCAAAGAAGTTTTAATTTCAACTTGAACCCCTACGAGCAGAATTCCATTTGAGCTGAACCATTACCGCAAAAAAGGCAAATTAAAACCACTGATTACTGGGTAGTCTCTCCGTCATGATTCGCCAACATTAAGTAAATCAAAAATTTATTTTCAAGGCGGGAAGCCTTTGTGCTTATCTTGTTTGTTCCGTTTCTTCAAAGAGAGTTGGGCGGAATAAATTAAATTAAAATTATTGAACTACAAAATGTGGACTTGATTCATCGGTTTCCAGTTCCGAACAGTTTTGCTTTCAAAACGAAAGTCGATATGTTTTATGCTTGTAAAACGCATGGAGTTACCATAATAAAAGACTTGTATTGGTAAGCTTTTTTTTTTTTCAAGTACAGAGTCTAGACTTAAATAGCCCTTTTCCAAACCAATATTTTTTTTAGCATTTCCCATGCCAGATTCCATGTGATAAACCAAATCTGGTCTTAGTATGGTTAGAAAAGCTGTTGTCGAGAATTCGCCCCAAAATTAAAATCATCCTGAGACAATATTCCAGAGTAGGAAAGAGGATGGGTCGAAAAAAATTTATCAAGGAGCCTGAAAGATCCCTGATTAGTATGAATTTCTTGACGCTAGTTCTCTCTTAATTTAGCGTATCTCGCGACCAAGCAGTCCGATCGGCTCGTCACTCCACAGATATTTTCAGGGCGTGTTGTCCTGAAAGGCTCTTACTAGGCTGAGCATTCTTTCACCCTTAGACCAAAAACTTTACGCCAACGGCCTTACCGATATTAATTGTCATAGATCGAGTTTGATTGTGTTTCACTGAAAATACTCTTCATTGAGAAGCGCAAGTGAGTTTCCTTTCTAGGTATCGCCGAGTCTTTTCAACCAATTAATGCGCACTGTATGTGGTTTTCATTTGAGTTGGGTAAATGTTCATAATCATCTCGTCAGTGTAATTTTTTCATTAAATGCTCATCTTGATGTCTTGCTAACGAAGTAGTCCTGCAATATAATTAGTCCACTTAACATTTTTGTGATATGTAATGCTTTCTGATTGGCGACGCCTTGGCTGCGCCACCTTAAATAATGAGTTAACCGGCAGAGAACGTTTAAAAGTCCATCTGTTACCATCGTACAGTGAACGTGAAACTCATCTTCTGTGATCGAATAAGGTGGGTGTATCGAAAAGCTTTTCGAAACAATTCTTCACTCAATTTTCTCTTGTTCATTTTGAGAACTGTCAAGAAATGAAAGAATTGATAATAATTTTCGGTGCGTGAGCTCTCGGTTTGTCATATGCTGACGACTTAGCAGTCTTTAAATCATAACCTGGTGTAGCCAACAAAGATAAGCAGTCCTATTTAATCCGACCGAGCTAACCTCAAGGGGTTTCAACTGAGTTAACAACTTTCAGTAAACGAAGCGAATGTGATCGATCGTGACGAGAGAGGCGCCATACTGAGATAGCGTCAGTTATGTAACCAAAATTTTTTTTGCCAATTTTTGCACCAATCGCACATCTTCGCAAATGGATATACCATGGTATTGTTGTCCATTTAGGCTCTGCAGCGTTTCTCTATCACATTTTCCAAATGAATTTCCATTTTAGACATTTCTCTTGTTTTTTTTTTAATCTTACTGAATTCTTCAGTACCTGCTTTTCACTGAAATCGAGCGAGAGTTCAAGAGAAGAACTGAACTGCCTGACAACCATCTCTTAGTTAGCCTAAATTTCTTATTCATACCTCGTTTTGTTCTCATTGTTAATTAGCCTCTTATTCAGCGCTTTTAATTGTTTCGTATATTAGGTCATTCTTTTATATTTCATATAAATTTCTTTAACAAACCGCCAATTTTCTCTTAGCAATTAAATAGCCCAAGCGTCAATCAATCCAATACCTCCTAATCAAGATTTTTTATGAAATAAATATATTCCAGTATCTTCTTCTCATTCAAGTTCTGCATGTTTCGTTTCAGGTCACAATTTACTTGTAAGTTGTGCATTTGGTCGTCTTATATCTTTTCTTGCCTTTTATCCATTAGTAAAACTTTTCTTATGTAAGTATCGCATCGTCGCCTCACACCGTTGGCTACATTTTGGATTTCGCTCGTAAACACCCTCTGTGAAGTCAAACAACATTTCGGCAACTGCAAATGCACTAAAATTAACTTTACTTTTTCCCACTTTTCCTTCATCACTTAATAGTAACTTGGTGTTAAATAAACGGCAAGGTGGCTTGGCTGGCCAACGCGCCCAGATATCAACACTTTGTGTGCCCCGTTAGATCCTTTTAAAACTTCCTAATGAGCCCCTCCCCCAGAAAAGTGGTTTGTTTTTTTGTTTGTTTTTTTGACTGATGATTCATCGAATTTAGAACCTGTACTCTATGATGAGCTGAACAGGATCATTTGTTTGCCCTCAGTTCTAGAATTGTTAAGGCAATAAATGTAAAACTGGAAATAATCTGACATAAAAAGCGACAGTCTCCGTCAGTTTCGTCAAGTGTAGGAACCAACTTGATTTTGATTAAGAAGTCTAGTGGAAAAGCCGGTATGGTCGTGGATACAAATCATTTATGTTTGGGAGCTCTGACAGCAACCTCGTTCCTAGGGCCTCTTCTACCTGTTTATCTGTCGATGATACAGATTCTATAAGTTTGAAACGTAGGTATTTAGAGCACTTGAGGCCATTTTTGCAGTAAAACCCAAGGCATACAGACGAGGCTCCCATCGGTTTATTGCGTGCATTTGGATATCATAAGAAGCAATGAATGGGAAATGACATGGCATTAAAATTGAGAACGAACTAGAAACGTTAATTTCGTAATCACGTTTAATTTCGTCTAGTGTAGACAAAAGAAGTTGTCCAGTTGAAAACATTTTAAAGAGGACATACCAGACAACAGTCACTTTGGGTACCCTCCCTCCCCTCCCCT